TCGATTCGAATATCGACCGGATCAATATTGAGTTACGGTCATTGATTAAATTTAAGTCATGATCAGAAAATGAGTCATCACAACTGGGAATATCTATATAATTATCATAAGCATCATGAAAGGTTTCTGTAATCCAACCTCTAGAGCAGATTCAAACATCCATCTAGTCAAAAGACTCACTGAATTAGTAGGTCATGATAGATTGAAGAATCATTATAGGAAGGGATATTTGTGTAACTGTCACCGCGCGAATATATAAATAAATATTAATTATATTCACACCATAATTTTTATTAACTATTAAATATTTTAATAATCTTCGCTCATTATAACAAACTTTTTTACGATGCATTTCTATTCTCATCCTTTCATTAATTCATACACCTTATATCAAAAAATATTTTTCAACCAAAAAGTTTGTAGGGAGCGAAACAACTTATTTGTCCATCATATTTTGAAAAACATTAAATGCAAATGTGCACGAAGTATTTTTAGTCATTTCACGCATGCTAATATAATATTTTGATTGAAATCATCATTCATGATGAGACATGTTAATTAGCCCTTCTTTGACATCCATTATAAAGAGAAATTTTGATAAAATGTATTATGAAATAGTATTTTTTGGGAGAATGTGTGGTTGAAAAAGAGAAAAAATTCTTTGATTTACGTGTAATATTATTTTATTAAAAAATGTGTAGCTAAAAAGAAGTTGGAGAAAAATATATTAAAAAATTTAAAAGGATGTCAAACAAGGGCTTAATAGAAAGTTGAAGTAAATAGTCAAATAACACAAAATTTAGGATATAGATTATGTTAAGTTGTGGAGCCTAATTATTGTTGAGCCATAATTGTTGTGACTTCGTGGAGCTGTTCACATATCGACCTCCACAGTGAAGTCGTTGTGGGAGTTGGAAGGGGGCGGACAAGCCCCCCGAGGGTGCAGCCCTTTGGAACAAAATCTTCATTAAGGACTATTTAGAAATTTTTATTCTTGTAAAATTCTATGAAAGAATAAGAGTCTTTATAAAATGGGGAAAAAAAATCATATTTAAGGTTTATTCTTTACACCATTTCAAAATTCAAGTAAAATGTTTGAAAATTCAAAATTCATTTTAAGATTTAATTAATTAAAATTATTTATTAAATAAATATAATAAAGTCGCGGTTAAAAAATTAATGGTCACAGATTTTTTAATGGCACATATCATCAAATTAATTGCTCACATATTATTTCGAGGTCACAAATCAAAATCTTGTAGGTCACAAATTAAAAATTTTATGGTTCAGATTATTTTTTAGTCACGGATCATCAAATTTTAAGGTTTTAGTCATAGATCATCAAATTTTAAGGTCACGGACCAAATCGTTGAGATCACACATATTATTTTTTAATCACATACTATCAAATTTTAAGGTTACAGACCACCCATAACCCAAAAAAAAAATAAATAAATAAAAAAACACTGATAATCAACCCAAACCACCAACTTGTATCACCACAACCGCCGTCACCGCACACCACACCAACACCCTAGCAAACACCACCACCACATCGCACCAACTGAATTGGCTTTCACTGACATTGCACCAACAAAACAGCACACATATCACAGATCGGCCACCTCCACCACCTGCATCAACAACCATCACCACCACCCACAACGGACCAATACATCCAAAACCACCACCAAACGTCGACCATAACCAGACCACAACCACCACCATCCTACCTAGATCCATTGCACCCAACACCGCACGAAGTCACCAAAGCCACCCACATCCACGTTGGACAAAGAAACCATTTCCAGACCACCCCAACCGTCGAAATCACAGATCAAAAAAGGCAACAATTGCGCCAGATCCACCACAACACCACCGCAAAACACCACACCACACAAAACACCATCCAAACCTCGCTACAGTGGTTCATGTGCTCCGTCAAAGCATCGAAGCGCTTCAAAACGGCAAGCGACCGTCGCTACGAAGAGCCTGAAAACGGCAAGTGAGAAAGACGAAGCGACAACATGAAAGGTGAAGCACCGCTGCGGGACGACGTGAAAGGCTCTCTCCGACTGTGGGCGGCGGCACCATGGGTTAACGGGAGAAAGTGAGGAGAGAAGATGTTGATTGCTGTGTGAAATGAATTTTAGGGCTGAATTGGGAATGAAATATTTTGTATTAATATTAATAATTAAATTCATACCTGAAATCTGCATAAAAAACCATCTCACCTCATATTTGCACTGAGATCTTTAAAAGTCGGGATTTTTGTAATTTCCACTTATAAAATTCGATTTTGTCCTAATTTATATTATAAATAGGAAACAGTACTTAGACTTTATGCATTATCATTAAATAGAGGAAAAGCAAAGTTAGAAGAATTATGATTGATATTTTCTCTTGTGAATCTTTTTTTATCATAGTGAGTAACTGCAGCGGCAAGATATGATGTAGTTTTATATTGAGGTAAACCTCTATAGATCCTACTTTTTTTATTGTTAATTTTCTTTCTTTAAATTGATTGCTCTTGGAGGAATAGAAGTAGGATCTATCATTCTCAATAGATTGCACAATGAGTAAATATTGAGAATTTTGAGTGAAGTTAAAAATATGAGGCAACCAATAAAAATTGTGATGTGAATATAATTACTAATAATGCATAATTTTACTTCTCAAGCTAAGCCAAACATGAATTCAAACCTTTTTTATGACAATTTTTGTTATTTCTGTAGTATTGTGAGAGTATACTTTAATTTTGTTTAAAATAGTCATAATATAAATGGTTTATTTACAATGATAATCGCCAACTTTCATTCATCTCATCGAGATTACTAATATTCAATTTAGTGTGATTAATAATAAAACCCTCAATTATAATTTTGTTTCAAATTTCACGTTCAGTTGTAATTGTTAAGCAAATTAATTACTAGCCTACTTGGTGTAAAAGTGGAACGGATTTGTGAATGTGTCTTCAACAATCATGCGATATACTATGTAATCAATAATGTCAAACAATTAAAAAAGAAGTCGCATTTTCTGAAAAAGCGTTTCAATTAATAGGTGTTTAACCTCTAACTGAACAAAAAAAAATTTGTCTTCCACCATTCATCTCATCGATTTCCAAATTAGGGCTTTCCACAAAATTTGTTCAAAATGACAAGAAAATTTTAACCTAGACATGTTAGTGTACAAATCAACATACATGTGTCAAGAAGTTTGTTAAACAACTAGAATTGATTAGGGTAGATGGCGAAATTAGGTTAAAAAATTGTATGCATGTTTCCTTGTTTGCGTTTGGCACCAAATCAAAATCGAGTGATTTGACTGTAATAAAAATAAAGATTAGATACCCTACGGTCAATGCTTGTGAGGGTAGTACCATGTAACTACGATAAACAATACCATGATTAATTGTGCCAATTTTACAAATCATGGAAATGAAACTTTTTATCTCAAAAGTCTAGTGGAGTAATCATATTAAAGATCGATCTAGACTACCATGACAATCTTACATATTTGGCGCTTAGCTTTAAGCATAAGAAAATGTTAGTGTTTAAATCAAGGTGCATGCGTCAAGATGTTTGTTAAAGAACACGAATTGATTAAGGTTAATAGTGGAATTGGAATAGGACTTTTATCATACTTATGTTCAAAACCTTTGTCGCTTGTGTTTCATGTTATTGATTACATGGAATATTGGACTGTTGTTGAAGGCACATCACCAATTCCTTAAAATTTGAAGTCTACAGAGGTGTTTATTGTTTGTTTGTCTAATGGTGATACGTATAGTGAGAAATTTATGGCAAATTAATATTGAGCGATTAATTACAGCAGAATAAATATCGAAGAACCCAATGGATTTAAATGAATGCTAAGTGACCAGAATTATAATTTACCAACAGTAAATGTGGAAGCCCCGCACAAAATGAAACAATTTTTTTTTTTTTTAAATAAATATAGGTGTCTGGACCAGTTTACGTGCACCTCGACTACTCTCATAGGACCCTAAAGTTTACAGGCTAATACTCACCTCAGTGGCTCTAAGAGAACTTGAACTGATGACCATTAGGGAACAAACTCAAGATCTGACCACCGAGTTACCCATTAGGGTTTACGTAGTAACCACAAACTTAACAAAAAAGATTGCTAAAAACATTAGAAAAGGAAGCGATCTTGAACACATATTTCAAACGATTGAGAATAATGCAAAAATATTGTTTAAGAAATAAAATAAGTGCATATTTTGCACGAAGTACTTTAACGGACCAGATAGCTATTTAAACCTGCCATTCAAATATTAGAAAATAACAAACCGAATTACTCAATTCATCCCATGAAAAGGGAAAACATTGTTGTTCTGATTACTAAATTAATTAAACAAAGGAAAGTTTGAAGCCGAAATATTTTCTCCTTTCAATGTTGTACTTCATCAATATTCCATAAAGTACTCTTTTCACTCCTGCAAGAAAAATAAAAATCAAAAGATCAACAGCTTGAAACTATTTAGCACTTGTAAGATAAGCAAAAAGAAAAGCAATCCCTTTTATTTTTCCATACAAGGGGAGGGGGACTCAAGAAGCCTGTAGAGAAAAATGTTGATAATGCATAATTAAGAAATTTCATGTTATTAGTTCTCATGTGAGCGCCCGAAGCATTAAATCACAACATATCATCCTAGAAAAATTGTAAAACCCCACGTTTGAGCCCCATTTTTCTAAATTCATTTTTTCAAAATTCATTTTCAATAACACATTTTTCAATAAAATAATATTACATGCAAATCAAAAAATTTTCCTTAATTTTTAACCACACATTTTCTATCAATCTAGTATTCAAAATGCATTCTTTATCCCAAAAATGGGGCTCAAACAAGGGGTAATTATTTTGATACTTCATGGAGCTGAAACTTCGATCTAATAATGTTTTGTTTATGAATGAAGAGATTAATATCACAAATATTCTTACCACTTATTGCTATGTGAAAGAATTTAACTTACATTAAGATCGGGGAGATAATTGGTTTCAGCCGATGAGAATTCTGGTGGAAACACAAGATGCTGAGGCTCTTCTTGCCTTCTCAACGAAAGCTGATTAAAAATAATCTTATTGAACGATGTTATGCCTTTGATGTATATTTAATGAGAACAATATAAAAGTAATAAAATATATATGTTGGATGATTTACTACATGGTACTAAGGTTATCACTCACTGAATTCAAGTTGTGAAAATTCATTGGATTGGCGAGGTGCTCATTAGTGTCTCCACGATAGTCTGCAACTGTTTGATCCTAAATCAAGGAGTAAAGGGAGAGCATGATCAGTCTAAAGAATGATTTGAAAATTCAGTTATCCTCTCATCACGGATATATAGTACTATAGTAGTCGAGATCAACAAAACTGTCATAATTAAATAATATAAAATTAGTTTCGAACTTCACCTAGTTCAACAATAAACTCTCCGACTGATATGATGCAATTTTTAATCTTCTAAAATATTCACAAAAATTCTTACCACTTATTGCTATGTGAAAGAATTTAACTTACATTAAGATCAGGTAAATAATTGGTTTCAACCGATGAGAATTCTGGTGGAAACACAAGATGCTGAGGCCCTTCTTGGCTTCTCAACGAAAACTGATTAAAAATAATCTTATTGAACGATGTTATGCCTTTGATGTATATTTAACGAGAACAATATAAAAGTAATAAAATATATATGTTGGATGATTTACTACATAGTATTAAGGTTATCACTCACTGAATTCAAGTTGTGAAAATTCATCGGATTGGCGAGGTGCTCATTAGTGTCTCCACGACAGTCTGCAACTGTTTGATCCTAAATCAAGGAGTAAAGGGAGAGCATGATCAGTATAAGGAATGATTTGAAAATTCAGTTATACTCTCATCACGGATATATAGTAGTCGAGACCAACAAAACTGTCATAATTAGATAATATAAAATTAGTTTCGAACTTTACCTAGTTCAACTATAAACTCTCAGACTGATATGATGCAATTTTTATCTTCTAAAAACTTCAGTATTTCCTGGAATACACGTGAAATTTACTCTACAACAAGCTTGAAACTTCGTAAACATGCATTTATGTTCTTCCTTTGAAAGTGGGAAGGCAGCATACAAATTGTAAATCTTATGTTTTCTTTCCAGTTTCGACAAATTTAATAAAAATGAACAAATACCGAGTACAGGGACTGAGCCACTAGGTTATGGGTTCAACGAATGTCATGTGTGAATAGCTTCTTCCTTAGAAATGAAATAGTAAATGAAAATGAATGGAAATTTAAGATGCACAATTTATACATGGAACTCCAAATTATATTGAATTCTCTAAAAATAAAGTCAAATCGTTGAGTTAAATTAAATTTAAGTACGAACATCAATAACTAGTATTACTCACATTAGTAAAGTTATAGTAATCAGAAATTAAATGAAAATTCAAGAAAAAACTTATAATGGCACTCCAAATTATATTATGTTAGCAGAAAGTCAAAATCTAGAGTTCAGATAAATCTGAGTACAAACATGAATAACTAGTATGGCTTATACATTATAGTAACCAAAAACTAAATGGAAATTTAAAGTTATTAAATTATATAAGAAGAAAGTCAAATTCTAGGGTTAACGTAAATCCGAATACAAGCATGATTGACTAGTCATAATAAAACTTTACATTGCTCATTTTAAAAGGTAGCAAAATCATGCAAAATAATTTTCTAATCAATTTAGTTATTAATTCACGCGCACGTGCAAAACCATGAAATCAAAATCAATCCCAATAGACACAGAAAGTAGTTGAACATTTCATGGACCAAAATTTTTTAATAACGATGTATCAAAAATGTTCAGTTTTCATATGAAGAGATTGACATCACAAATATCAACACTGTTACCCATCATACTATTGCTAAATGAATTTATCTTACGTTAAAACCCTGCCGATAATTGTTTTCAGTTGATGAGAATGATGGTAGAAACGCATGATGCTGAGGTGCTGCATAGCTTCTTGTGAGCAAGGCCTGATGAAGAAAAACTGCTCGTTAAAAATAATCTTATAGAACGATGTCATGCCATTAAGTTATACAAAACAGGCACGAAATAAAACTAATAAAAATATCGTGGATGATTTACTACTTAGTAGGTTGTATCACTCACTGAATTCAAGTTGTGCAAATTCATTGGATATTCTGGGTATTGATCAGTGCCTCCAGGACAGTCTACCAATGTTTGCTCCTAAACCATGCAGTAAAGAGTGAAAGTGCGTGATCAGTACAAGGAATGATTTGTAAAATCCAGTTATTTCTCTATTTATTGATAGTAGTCAAAACCAACAAAACTGTCATCATAATTTAAAATTAAGTTGGAACATCACCTTGTTCAACTATAAACTCTTTGCCTGATATGATGCAATTTTTAATATTCTAAAACCTCTTTTCTTGATTCAAAACTTCATTGTTTCCCGGAACACATACAGATAAATTTATTTACATACTATTAAGTTTGAAACTTTCATCCACATACATTCTCCCCTAGCAAATGGGATATTTTCTTTCCAGTTCTACAAATTTAAATACAAAAATGAATAAATAACACAGTATGGAAACAGGGACACTAGATTATGGGTTCAATCATTGTCATTGGTCAACGCAAACTGTGTTGAATTCTCTAAGAAGATAGTCAATTTCTAGAATAAGCTAATACAGGTAAAAAAAAAAAAATAGATAATTGCTATGACATATATATTGGAAAAGCCATTGTATTCAAAAAATAAATGAATATTCAAGGAAAAACAACTTATAATGGCACATAAAAATATATTGACTTATATAAGAGAGAATCAAATTCTAAATTAAATTAAATATGAGTACAAATATGAATAACTACTAGGGCTTATACATTAGAAAAGTGATGGTGATCGAAAATTAAATAGAAATTCAAGAAAAAATTAACTTATACATGGCACTCCAAATTATATTGAATTATCAAAGAAGAAAGTCAAATTCTAGAGTTAAATTAAATCTTACAAACATGAGTAACTAGTCAAAATAAAACTGTAGATTGCTTATTTTAAATGGTAGCAAAATCATGCAGGATCATTCTCTAAGAAATGTAATGTTATTTATTCATGTGCACGTCCATAAAGTATGAATTCAAATCAATCATCCTGCAGACACTAAAAGTAGTTGGACATTAATTTCTTGGAGTTGAAACTCCTAAAAATGATGTATTTATAATGCTTTTTCCTTTACGTATGAAGAGATTGACATCAATACTATCCACCATATTTTTGCCATGAGTAAGAATTTATCTTACATTAGACCCTTGCCGATAATTGGTTTCAGCTGCCGAGAATGATGGTGGAAACACAAGATGCTGAGGCGCTTCTGGGCTTCTCATGAGCAAGGCCTAGTGAAGAAAAGGTAAACTTATAGAACATTAATCTTATAGAACATGTCATGCCATTAATGTATATTTAACAATCACGATATAAAACTAAAAGAATTAATATTCAGGTTGAATCAACTCACCGAATTCAAGTTTTGCAAAGTCATTGGATATGCTGGGCGCTCCTTAGTGTTCATTGGATTGGCTGGGCACTGATGAGTGTCTCCTCCATGAGAGTCTGCTGATATTTCCTTCTAATCAAGGAGCAGAAGAGGATGCAAGTTCATAATCAGTATAAGGAATAATTTGTAAATTCATTTATTTCTCTGTGTTAATAGTCTATAACCAAAAATCATAATTTAAAATCAAGTTGGAACTTGAGCTTGTCCAACCATAAACTCTTAACCTGATATGATTCAACTTCCAAACTTCTAAAACCTATTTTCTTTCCCCAAAATAAATAAATAATTTTGTGATTCTTTCACCCAATACACATGCAATTTACAGACTACAAAGTTTGAAAATTTTCATCCACGTATGTTCTTCCCTCACAAGTGGGACGACAAAATGAAATTTTGTAAATATTATTTTTCTTTCCAGTTCCTCCAAATGTTAATACAAAAATGTATAAATACATCAGTATAGCCACTAGGTTACAGGTCAATGGCTTATAAATAGAGAAGTCTTAGCAATTGAAAATTAAATGAAAATTCAAGGAAAAACAACTTGTACATTGTACTCCAAATTATATTGAATTAAGCACAAGTCTAAGTGTAGAATTAAATTAAGCCCCATTTGGTAAATATTAAAATCAGATTTTCAACATATTTTGATAAAAATTGATGAAATATGTGGTTGAAAAGTTGGGAATCCTATGAAATGTATAGTTAAAATTAATTGTTGACCTTGACTTAAATTTTAATCAATTTTTTTAATAGTACCAAATAGGGGCTAAATTCTGAGTATAGACATGAATAATGTCAAATATACATATACATATTTTATGTGACTTCTTGTTTTTTGTTTATGTGGAGTATTATTATGCTTTGAATAAACTAACAACTTGTTTGGGAGTGATTTTGACCGTTATTTCACTATTTCATTCGTCATATTTGATTACTTCTCTCACAGGTAGATCCCACATTTTTCCTAACGATCAAAAAATCAATTCTCAAAATTCCTCCCAAACAGACTCTAAAACTGAATGAATAGTTAATAAAAATTAAGAATAATTTTTATCAGATAAGGGATCCCCTATGATGCTCCTATCTAAATGCAAACAGAAATAAAATAAAATACTAATCTAATTATTTATATCTTCATTTCACCTATAAATTATCAGCAGATGTTTAAGAATAAAAAGGTAAACCACTATGATATCAGTGAAATTATACACACAGATAAATTCATACCAAAAAAGAAGACAGCTTCCAAACGATGTGTTTCACTAACTAAATGAATAAGGTATTATTATTTAAGAGTAGCATTAAACATTGGCTTGGTCTACTGGCTGAGTTCATTATGCAAGTCTTGAGTAGGAGCTGAACTAAAATTTTCGATTTAGACAACTGGGAGGTTAATTATGGTACTGACCTGTAATACTAGTTGAGGACCTCGGGTTGTCTTTTTTCAATGTCAATCTAAATTAAGAGAACCGGACCAACCCAGTGGCCAATTATTCCATTCCTGTCATCTTTTAATCACTATGTTTTATAGTCTATTTTAGATTGAAGGTATTAAGTGTGACATTTATGTTGATTCTAATACATATGCAGGGTAGAATATTACAAAAATAATAAGTTTAGATTAACAAATGCAACTTTAATGAAAACACATGTACAATAAGTGGTATTTTGTGCATTCATATTCAGATATGGAGCCTAAAAGTGAGAAAGGGACATTCAAAATATTTGGTCTTGGCTATTAGTGGTTGTAAATTGAAAACATTGTAATTAGAACGGACAAACCTGGTATCTATCAGAAGAGATAATTTTAGCTAGGAAGCTGAGAAGCTCTTCACCCATTATTGCCGTGAAAACATCACAGTGCCGCAGAGATTGGCGACTGTTATCTTCTGCGTTCATCCAAGCTCGAAGTGTGAGATCCAAAATGAAGAGCTCACAAGCTTTTGCAAATAATATAGGAGTATCTGAGCTGATCATCTGAAAATATGTTCGAAACAAAGAAAATACTGAGATGTTATGAAGCTCAATGGATAATAACTTCTTCAATGGAGCTACAATGTATCAAATTCCTAATCTTAACTAACAGGGGTAGAGGGAGCCCAGGGATACCCCAAAGTCCACTTAATTTTTATAGTTAAAAAAAAATTATATGAATCTTTTTTTTTCTATGTATGAGACCAAAAATAAAAAAAAAATAATAATAATAATAAATCTCCTGCTGACTCCGCTGTATTACCAATTTATTATTAAATATAACTAATTATCTTTATGAAAGAGTTCAAATTCCTATTGAACGAAGCAACTAAAAGAAATCAACCTTACACTAACGTATAGAGTTCTTAGCATTTTCTGCAGATAATTTAGTAGAGTCCGCTAGTCAACTATGGAAATTTTCTTTCATTTGGGGATTTGGTAAGAACCAAGCATATCAAGATATGCCTACCTTTACTTTTTTATCAGATTTCATTATCTTTCTTATCCGAGCAAAGGGAAGCACATGTTTGTACCGTATATCTGCAAAATGAGCGACATTAAGAAAATAAAATAATTAACAAATGAAGTCTATGCAGAAGAAACACCATTTTTTTATTATTATTATTATTATTTATTTATTTATTTATTTATTTATTTTATTTTATTTTTATTTTTGTTTTGGGTTTCCAACAACAAGATAAAATATGGATTTCAATTCAATAATTCTAAAAATCAATGCTCTCAGTAATTTCAGCCATTACCACATGGGCAACTATAAAATCGCAATAGTTACTAGTGCTTTTTGACACAAGTTTATATTGGACTAATTATAGCCTGAAAAATTATGAGGCATTTTTTTCTTTTGGATCATTGATGGAAAAAAAGAGTCGTACTATTTCTTTCATGCTTACAAGATTCGATCCTCCATTAGCAAAAAGTACTTTCATATTTATTACATTTTTTCACAATAACTGCAAAGAGGGGTAAAATGAGAAAATTCATTACAAGATCACGTATTCATAGACTTTAAGAAGTACATGTGCAACACAAAAACTTTTGGGAAGGCCCTCAAGGATGAAGAGAATTGAGGACATCCCCGAAGAGCAGAGGATTTCGTGACATTTCAAATTGGGTGTCTTCTATTTCTAATAAGTTGTTTATAGTTGGCCTGTCGAATCATAAACATAATAGCAAAGTTATTTAGCACCATTAATGTTAAAATATCGGTCTATGGGGCACTAATGTAACATTAAATGAGAGGCATAATTAAATGAATCATTTAATTCAACATTTCATTGACTCTATCATTAAACGCTACCTAAACTGGTGTTCAAGAATTACTAGTATTAGGTAGCATTATTCTATACATAATGGGCTGGTTTAGATCATAACCGGATGATTATAAATTATATTGAATTGATGGTCCAACCTTTCGTTTCCAGTATAAATTCTTTTCTCAGTGCAAAAAGTTTAGAGCTCATATCATGTATAAAGAGATTTAGATAAATTTGAACTGTAAATAATTGCAAGTTAATGACATGGGAACAAGGTGGATAGAAACAAAAATTAAGTAAAGCAAGTGGATCAGCCAAAAAATTAAGTAAAACAAATTGGTCAAATTGTTGGAGAATTTTGCACCACCTCGAGAGTTACGGATCTCAACCAGTCGATCCTTCCAAAAAGTTAGCATGTTTTGCCTCAATAGATTCTTAAAATGAGAACTCCTGGCCTCTCCATCCTTTATATAACACAAGTAGATGATTTGTATGAGTTAAAAGATGAAACTGATAAAAAGTAAAGGTACAAGCATGAGAAGTACGGCAGATATCAACCGAATAGATTCTTAAAATGAAAACTCCTGGCCTCTCCATCCTTTATATAACACAAGTAGCTGATTTCTATGAGTTAAAACATGAAATTGATAAAAAGTAAAGGTATAGGCATGAAAAGTATGGCAGATTTGGTTCAACTGCTACCTGATTGCTGTGACCAAAAAAGAAAGGCGGCTTGTCCATAAAGTTATGTGCCTATGGTGGAGGATTTGAAGACGGAAATTGAACAGAAGGGCTGAAGTCCAAAAGGTTTGCGTCCTTACGCCTATCTATGTAAATACTGTGTTTATAAATAGGTGCATTCAGATGCATACGTACAAAGGTAGATTAATAGGACAGGGATGAGTATTAAATTTGGCGTTATCATTATATGGAATTTATTTTATACTGTCAGCATATTAATAAAAATAAGAATATTGGCATCTGAGACAGGTTTGTAGCATTAATGACCCTAACCTGCTCTTCAACGAATGTTCGGGGATTTTGATAATTTGACTCATTATATGGTAAGTGCGCCGTCCAATCAACTCGTAGGCTCGTCGAGGAAGTGAAATTTTAGACAAGTCAAGATTTCAAAAGTTGCTTACTCGTCTCTTTTACCCTCTGCTAAGACCTTTTACCTTCCAAATTTCAACTCTTGTGTTAATGTCAATTTGTAAATTTGTGATCCCATTTCTTTGATTGTAGTTTCTGTACTTCCGTTCTTCTCAGATCTATACATGGAAATTAGATGATTGAAGCCTAGTAGACAATTTGTCACATAGTTAATGTTTTCATTAAGGTGTCATCTTGACTCACATAGGTCTGAATCATGGTAATTGAGCCTTTTCTTTGAGATTTAAGGAAAACTTCTCATGGAATATTCTATCAACATAAATAAATTGAACCTTGCAATGCAAATAAATGTTCATAATCATATGGCATTCAATCAAAAGTTTCACGAGGAAAATTTATCTTCAATTTCCTAACTGGATCTTAAATTAAAATTTCATGTAAGATTAACATATGTATGGATATTGAATATGAGTTTCACTTTTCATACCGTGGTGCCAAATGCTAATGCTTGCCTGCAAACATTGATAAGTATCTCTCCATTCTGCCTTGTGTTTGAATCTAGGCTTCCTGCAATTGCATTTCTTGATCAATACTACTAGGACTTTTGAAATCCAAGGAAAAATTACTAGTTACTTCTTTGGTATATAAAACCTCCCTCTAAAATATCTAACAAGGAAAACAGAAATTGTTACCAGTGGTGCTGTAATATTCATGAATGCACACAAAGGAGAAAGATATAAAAAGTAACTCCTATATTCAGTGTTTGTGGGGCAGTCCCATGTAGCTACCATAGACAATACCATGAATAAATGTGCCAATTTTATAAGGGGAAATTGAACTTTTTTAACTCTTAGAATAGTGTTTACACATATCAAAGAAGTATTAGTACATTATTCACGGCCTTCTTTCAGCAACTAAACCTGCATATATGAGAAAATAAAAAATTAAGTAATTATGCTCAAAATGTTTTCCAATAAATATAAGTGATTGGAAAGGAATGGAAACTTGAGGATGTTTTACCATGATACAATATGACCTGTATGATTGCCTTCCTACTTGCCATCACAAAACAGGTTCAGCGTGTAGAAGGGCTTAAGCTTCCGTATCAAAATTCCCTAGAACAAAACATAACTAAGAAACCATTATAAAGGAACAAGATAAGGAAAAAAAAACCTTATAATGGATGATACAATGGCTACACATTATAGTATATCCTATTACAACGTTTCAAATTGTGTTTCAAAGCTTTAGAAAGTTTACATCAACCTCTGGACAAGCTGCTTAAGTGGCGATATTCTCTAAACAGAAACTACTATTATATTAGCAAACAAAGAACCTGTCAAATGCTAGGAGCCTATCAGATGCCTTAAGATTTTAGCTACTTGCCAGATGGATCCATTTCATTAGTTAACCTTAATAAATATTAAAAGTATCAGATCTTTCCATCATGGTACAATACAGGCTATGGAATAAGATAATTCACCCATACATTGGCAATTGAAAACTCAAAAGGATGATAAACATGGGTGGAAAAAAGTACAGCTATAGTTGCCAAAAGAAATAATAAAAGGACTTAATTTGGAGGGGAAAAAAGGACAAACGATAAGCACAAGAAAGGTTTGCTCTTCCATATATCTGTCTGCTCAATTTCTTAAAAAGACAATCAATTTCATATGAATTTATTGCAGCAGCAAGATAGATGTTAAATTCCTAACAGCCTTTTCATGTTTGAAGGGAGTAGAAAATTATCTCACAAATCATCGAACAGAGAAAATACATTTTAGTGGCATAAAAATACTCATTCCTTTTAAAATGAATGTACCTAGATTCGATGTATTTTTTACTTTGTTTATTAAGGCGATATTCTCTAAACAGAAACTGCTATTATACTAGCAAACAAAGAAGCTGTCAAATGTTAGGCGCCCATCAGATGCCTTAAGATCTTAGCTACTCGCCAGATGGTTTCAATAGTTAACCTTAATAACTATCAAAGTATCATATCTTCCCATCTATGTACAATACAGGCTACAGAATAAGATAATTCACCCATACATTGGCAACTGAAAACTCAGAAAGATGATAAACAATGGTAGAAAAAAGTAAGCTATAGTTGCCAAAAGAAATAATAGCCATAATTTGAAGAAAAAAGGACAAACAATAAGCATAAGAAGTGGTTCGCTCTTCAATATATCTATCCGCTCAATTTCTTAAAAAGACAATCAATTTCATATGAATTCATTGCAGCAGAAAGATAGAAGTTAAATTCTTAACAGCGTTTTCATGTTTGAAGGAAGTAGAAAAATTCTCTTACACAAATCATCGAACAGAGAAAATACATTTTAGTGGCATAAATAAAATACTCATTCCTGTTGAAATGAATGTATCTAAATACGTTGTATAAGTTATAATGTATATTAGGGCATCAAGACTCTGCAAAATAATTACCATTAATCAAAGTAAAAGGATAACTAGTGGAATTGTGATAGCATAATTCTGACTGCTGACCACCATTGATGCAGTCTGCAACTTTACTGATTCCTTCAATCAATTTCAGATAAATGAATATAATATAATATACCAATAAAAATCATAAGCTACAGAAAATTAGATGTTAAATTATAGACCCTTGGTAGATATTTGAAGAAAGTAGAACCATGGTTGTTATATTCTCTCGATCCGGATGTTATGATCATATGGTTCTATTCTACGATCCAATTCTAACAGGAAAATTAAATTGTAGAATCTTGTGGTTCTGTTGCTGGATTTTAACCATCCTATCAATCCTAATGATTCCACGAGCCTCCACTTTTTTCACTATTTTAAAGTTTTTTGCATTATTATTTAATAGATTAATCTGGTTGGATCTTTTTTCTTTTCTTTTCTTATTTTGGTGATGGGGGACCACAACCGCTGTCCTTCGTGGATAAACTCTCTGGCAGGATCCTCGGTGGATACATAGATAGAGTTCCATTTAGAAATTGAAAGTTTATAACCAAGGTAAATTAATTAATTAATATTCAAAATTAATTATTGTGTTATATATATATATATATATTAGTGGAATTAATTATAAATATCAAGCCAACCAAAGTTCAAAAACTTTGATAGTTCACCGACAAGTTCTAACTAGTTCGTGACTTTTCAATGCAGCAGTAACATTCTCAATAAAAAGATTAAAAGCCTGTTTGGTATCCATTATTTTTGAAAATGCATTTTTCTCTTTCTTCATTTCAACCACACATTCTTTATTAAAATAATATTACACGTAAATCAAAAACTTTTCCTTATTTTTCAACCACACTTTTCCCATCAACTTACTATTCAAAAATGCATTTTCACAAAAAAAATCTCTACCAAACACCCTCTAACTTAAGCATAATGCGATAAAAACGTGGTAAACCACGATGGAGACATTCACGGACCCATGCTACGGCTAAATAATTCATTGCATACAATCACAAATAGTTTTGAAATCACATATCATACCCAAAATACACAAAAATCATGAAAAATATTGACTTCTCTATTTATTTATTTATTTATTTATTTTATTTAACTTTCTTGATTTATTGACGGGTGGAACCAAGCCAACAAATTTGTTCTACGTCACTTCTACGACTGCACCCAAACTTCTCTAGAAATTGGAAAGTAATTACAAAACCAATTCCCCCTGTTTTGTTGTTGTGAGGAAGTAAGTTGACCAAATTTCCATATTCTCCCATTCTTTTGTTATCCCTTTCATGTAAGAAACATAGTGCACACACACATACAAGAAAAAAAATAAATAAATAAAAATGTGGCTTCAGTAATGACCACGATATTCGTTGCCACTAGTCTTCACCAATGAAAAATGATCGAACGAAAATTCGTTGATAATTTTAGGGTCAATGATAGTTACCAAGGCAATGGTAAAACCTTAACCAACGAAATTTTCCTTAGGAAAAATATTGTAATTGGTTACTCATATTTAGTTAATAAATGTGTTAACATGACCTACGAAAGTATTGTCAATAACTATGAAAATTCCATAGGTAATATCATGTTCCATTACCTACGGATTTTTAGTATGTAATGGATTATGCATCAATACTCTCGGAATATCCATATAAATGACAAGTGTTTTTCTCCTACACCTACAGAAAATTCATAGGTTAAGCTCACATTTTTAATAAAAATCGCTAAAAATTAATATATCTACTAATTAATAATCAATATTATCAAATCACACCAAATAATAAATCGTCAAAAAGAACTGGAGCCATCTATCCATGAATTGGATCGAACTCAGGCTGATCATCCATAACTCTATTATACTTGAACTCGATTGAAAGTATTTTGTAAAAACAAAAACTAATTCTTGTTATACTCACTATATGAACAAATTATGAAGTACCCAAACTCTAATTGTACTTATTATGAACTCATTTGAATTTTTTATGAACAAAATCTTCAAATCCATGATTATTCCCATGATCATGGTTAAAGAACTTGATTGGGACATTGGATAGTCCATACCTTTTCCTAAAAATAAGTGACCCATTAATCACAATCAATTAAAATATAAATGAACTTAAAAATACAAACTATAAGTCAAAAGAGAAAATACACCAATCTCATCTTGGTAGTCATAAAGGAGACTGAACCAGCGGTATGCTTCTTTATTTCATCATCATGTCCTTGTACGACATGAAAATATTTATTTGCATCCATTTTTTATTAATAGTTTTGAGATGTGGAAAAGTTTCTAACCACTTCAATCAAAAGAGGTGATGTTATTCCTTATCAATCTAAGATCTATTATGAGTTATGACAATTGTTTGAATGACCAGTAATAGAAATAGAATTGGTGCACACTTGCCTCGAAAGAGATTTTTTATGAATCTTCTTTTGCTTGGTTCGATTTTTACTTCTCCTTGGTGAAAATTGAATTTAACATCCTAGTTTTAATACATTTTAAGGTCTAGAATTGCAAAGTTTAAACCTTGCAGCTTGGTGTTTCATTTCAGATTTCGTTTGCCTCAAGGCTGGCTTCAGGCCAGCCGTTTTCAGGTTGATTGTTGCTGACTTGGTCAGACTTGTTCCTGGTATTTTGCTGTTCATTCAAGACAGTTTTCTGTCCGCCTGGGTTTGGCAATTTCTATTTAGTTGCTGGCTTTTTGGTTCGTGTTTGTCTGCCAGTAGCTCTTCATCTTACTTGGTTGGACGTCTGTTGGGTGCCTCTTAATTTTTCTTCCAGCTTGGTTTTGTTTGGGGGCTGTGCTGCTTCGGGTTTTTCGGCCTTTTTCAGGTTCTATCTTCTTCAGTTCAGTTTGGAGATCGATTCTTGCTCTACCCGGGACTACTGTGTGTTCTTGGTGCTGGAATGTATGTATATTGTATATATTGGTGGTCTTCTTGTCTCTGCAATTGTTGACCGTTGCTGGACTGTTTTCGGTCAATGCTGGGTTCCTGAATTTGCAGCCTTGTTCATCCATTTTTAGATTACTTTTTTTGCATATTCTGGTAGCGATCTGAGGTACCTTCTTCTTTGGGTGAAGTCTCATTTATTGCAGCTATATTTTGGCCCTTTCTTAGCTTATTCTGGCGGTCATAAGACTTTCCCTTTTGGGAAAGTTTTTAAATATTATTTATCTCAGATTTCTGCTGGTTTTAGTGTAATACGGGTCGTCCAATTGGGCCTGTTTTGGCTGGACATCCTTGGGTCATTATTTATTGGGAAAAGTTCATATTTAAGGTGTATTATTTACACCAATTCACAAATCAGGTACAAAGTTTAAAAATTCAAAATTCAGGTTTCTATCTAATTAATTAAAAATATTTATTAATTAAATATAATAAAGTCACTGTTATACGATTAATGGTCACAGATTCGTAATTATTGGTCACAAATTTTCTTATTGGTCACATATTATCGAATTAATTAGTCAGCTGGTCCAGTTTTCTGTTTCTGCATGGATAAGAAGAAAATTGTTGCTAGCCAATATAATGGTTTGGCTCCCCTTAAACCTCAGGCTCTTTGACAAGTTGATGTTGGAGGGGGTGTTGATGCCAATTCAAAAATTCAGTTGTCGGAGAAAAATCAGGTGAATTTGCCCTCACCGAGTGTATCAGTAACACTTTGTGAAGATGTCACGGAATCTGAAAAATCTGATGTTGAGTCGCATAAAGTGGAATTGAATAACCAGAATAATGAAAATGGTGCTGGGATTGAGGGTATGAAAGACACTAGAGCTCCATGGGTAAACCTCTTCAAAGATAATAGGAAAATGGAGGAAAACATTAAGTTGAAGGCCTTCGATATTCAATCGGAAGAAGTGGTTTTGGATGAATGGATGAAGACAATATCGAAAACTCTTGGGGATATGGTCTTGTTGGATATTTTGCTGGTAGGTTTCCCGAAAAAAATGGCCTTACTCCAATTATGTGATAAATGAAAAGTTGAGTATAAATATTATGTGCACTCGAGTGGTTGGTTGGTGTTCAAATTTGAGACGGATGTGGAAAGGCTAAGTGTGTTGTATGGGGGTCCCTACTTGGTATATGGGAGACCGTTAATGTTGAAAGTCATGCCTCACTATTTTTATTTTGATGACAAAGATGTTAGCACCATGCCGATTTGGATTAACTTACCAGGATTGCCATTGGAGTTTTGGAACATGAATGCCTTGGGTAAGATTGTTTCCAAAGTTGGTAAACCCATATCAACCGATAAGGTCACGGCATCAAGAGGTAGACTATCCTATGCAAGAGCCCTAGTTGAAATCGACGCATCAATCGAGCTTGTGCGGGTGGTAAAGATAAGACTACCTTATGGTATTTTGAAGGAACAAGAAATTATTTTCGAGCATGAACCAAAATTTTGTGGTTCTTGCAAAGTGTTTGGGCGTTCCACCCTTGGTTGCAACTACAAAAAGCAGCCTGCGGATGACAAAGGTAAGGCCATAAATGGTGAGACATCTACTACCTCCATGCCGGCTGCACATGGGAAAAACATGCAGGCTGGGAAGACTTCAGCTAAAACAAAGTCAGCAGCTTAGGGTGTTAAATGGCCAGCAAGGGCAGCCTATTACTCAAAATTGTGCACAACTACATGATAATTATGTGGATTGCCAGCAAAACCAGGTCCAGGACCAGATTGACGCCCCATTTGTTGAGGTTGTCAACTGGAAAATGAGAAAAATTCAGCCCGTACCAACCCTTCACATGTGTCTGCATGCGATAGCAATCAAAGGGATAATTCGGGGCCAAATTCTTCATCAAATATTAGAGGGTCGGAGTCAAATAAATCTGGCAATGAAAAGCTTAAAGGTAAGGTTGATGAGCAAAAGAAAGTGGGAACTAAAATTGACAAGAAGAAGGGAACATCCCTTACTTCAAAATCATGAAGATTGCATCTTGGAATATTAGGGGCTTGAATTTCCCCCTCAAACAAAATGGGATTCGAGACTTCATCAAGCGACATTGCATTGATGTTATGGGTATTTTGGAGACAAAGCTTGGAGATCGAAAGTTGAACCGAGTTATGCAGAATAAATTTGATGGGTTTATGCAAGTCAACAATTTTTGCACTCATAGAGCTGGTCGAATCTTGATTTTATGGAGTCCATCCAAAGTCAAGTTGGAAGTTTTGGAGATGACCCCACAAATTATCCATTGTATTGCTACTTGCAAGGTAACATCTTATACCTTTCTTTTTAGTTTTGTTTATGGTTTTCATACAATCGTTAGCCGGAGGCCACTTTGGAACAACATCATGGACCTTCATGCAAATGTTTCATTGCCTTGGATGATTCTTGGTTATTTCAACAATGTGCTAAAATTTGATGAGAAAAGCAATGAGGCGGAAGTAACTCCTTATGAAATT